GAACAGCCGAACTGCAGAACTGCAGTCAGCTGAAGTAGCCTGCGGTGCTGCATTTAACCACTGCGCCACCTCGGCTCTCGACTTGGCCACGCCCACATGATCACTTGACCACCGAGCCCCGCCTACTCAGCTGGTCATTAGGGCAGAGAACTGGTTGGTAAATTATTTGAATCCCACCACTGATACATACTCACTGGATGATCTTAAGGAGATCTCTGTCACCTTCAGACACTTGAACCTGAGTTCAACTCTCCATGGAGGACCAAGAGAGGTCCTTTCATTCAAGACACCACAAGCATAGATGCCTTTCATACATCTCAGGCGCCCACAGGGAGCTCTGAGAATAGGATTATGGGCATGCTCTGCCCAGTTTGAAATTCTTAAGCATTCAGATGAACCCCTGAAGACACCAGGAATGCAAAACTAGCATTTCATAGAGTAAGTTAAGTAAAGCCATTCTTCTAAAAGCTAGTCTTTCTTGCAAAGAAGTTTGGTTGAGTTAAAAGCATTATGTTTTTGTGTACTGACTTCAATCTACTATATGGAGTCATGTAGGTACATTTTTTCTTTAAATTCAAGTGGTTTCCTTGGAATAATTCCATTTGTGTTTCCTGTAATTCCATTTGTGACCTCTGATTTCCTTCTTGCATAAATGTGTATAAATTGCAGCTACAAGAATGGCGCTCTTGTATTTCTTTAATTATTTCAGTATGATGAGCACAGTTTAGTGCTAGAATGCCTTGAGATTAATGAGAGGGAAAGGGAGGGAATGGATTGACATTCCTGCTTAAACCTGTAAAATAATCCCTATCTCTGAACCCAGAAAATCTATAAGTCTCTAGGTAATCTTTTGGGGCCAACGTTTTGGTAAGTCTGAATACCCTATTTCAGAAGCAGAACAGCACGTGTTTGATGTAACCATTTGGCCAGAAAACCCTGTGGTGGAGCATGGAGGTTCTCTCTGGCTGAACTGCAGTACCAGCTGCCAGGAGGCAGATGCCAGGGGAGGCTTGGAGACATCGCTGATGAAGGAGAAGAAAGACAATGGGAGTCACTGGGCAGTTTTCCAGTTTGTGAACATCACGGAGTGGGCGTCTGCCACTGAATGCTCCTTCAGCTGTTACGGAGAGCATAAATCTGTTCAGGCAAACATCATGGTCTATCGTAAGTGGGGATGATGCAAAGATCTGTTTGTTGTTTATATCCCTAAAAGACTGCCTTAAGCCAGCTTTTCATCATCTAAAGTCTAAAGCAGTGGTAATCAACCTTGTCCCTACTGCCCACTAGTGGGCGTTCCAGCTTTCATGGTGGGCGGTAAGGGTTTTGTCCAATACTGAAGCACTTTCCTTCCTTTTTTTAAATGTAATTGACTTTTTTTAAAAAAAAAATTCATAGCATTATTTAATAGCAATAGCAATAGCAGTTAGACTTATATACCGCTTCATAGGGCTTTCAGCCCTC